AGCCACCGCCATCGCCCAAGAACCGCCGTTAGAGCCACTGCCGCTGCCTATGGGGAGGGAGGAGGAGATGATGCTGGTGGGTGGATCTGAAGGGGGAGGAGGAGAGGATGCTGGCATAGTTGAAAAAACCGAACCGGCGATCGAATCGCTCGAGTCCTTGGGTCACCGGTCCAGCGGTTCAACCGCCGGTTCACACGGTTCGAATGTTGAACCCGACGTGTTATATTGTATGCATATTCTCTTCTTATCACTTGTGAAAGTTAGCTGGGTGGTGGATGCATAGGGCTTTCAGTCAGCCAACCAGCGTTCGAACCCCCGTTCCATCCCTTTTTCTTGCTATTTTCAGTAGTACACATGCACGTGCACAAGGCCTAGACTGTCCCATCAAGGCCCATCCTCTCTTGGCATGACAAACCGGCCGGCTCGGCTCGCTCTGGTTCACCGGTTCACATGAAAACTGGCGGTTCAGGCGGTTTATTCCGGTTCAAATGCAGGGGCGGTCTTTACAGCAAACCGAGCCGCCTAGCCCTCTGGTTCTGGTTTTTTCCGGTTCAACCGCCGAGCCGGTCCGGTTTTTTTGTACTATGGATGCTGGTGGAGGAACCAGAGGAGATTTTTGTAATTTGGAGCGGTGTGGATAAGGAGTGGTGGGTGGTGATTTTTGTAATGGGCAATGATTTTTCAATGTGCGTGGATTTTTTCAAGGGCGGTGCTTTTAGTACCCGCCAGCAAAAATCTAGTTAAGAGGCACGCCGGTTAAAAAAAGGGTTATTTTTGCAAGCGGACTTCTTAAGCAACCGCCAACGAAAATGGATTTTCGTTGGCGGTCCTAAACCCTCCACCCCTCGTTAGAATTTTACAAGTCGATTTCTCATGTGACCGCCAACGAAAAAAATTTGATACAGCCATAAAAAACCCTTTTTCTGGTGGTGAGATAACCCTGCCACTGCGTTAAACACGTACAACGACCAACATCACATAGTTCCACACCAAACTGAAGTAGAAAATAAACATAACAACATGTTCTAAAACAAAATAATGAAATATCAAAATTTTATATCTTGGTGCTAGCCCTGCACCTATACGAGCTGAACACCTCCGAAGTGATCTCCTCCAAATTGCAATGCAAATAGTGGGGATTCGATGAAGTACATTGATATCGTTATGAGATCCGTGCAAACAAAAAAAAGTGAAGCGTGTCAAATCCAGAGATCTTTCGAAGCAACGACTCTAGAATCATTATAGGCTCATGCACGTGCCCTTAGTACATACCCTAGCATTCCGTAGGGCAGTTCTTACACTTTCAATGCATACGGTCTACAGAGCTATTGATGAAAAATCCGCGCTCGGTCGATGGTGTCAGATTTGTGGTGGCACAAACTAAGTCGACGAACACAATGGCCTGGAAGATCTGCTTAGGTCCAGTGCAGGTCCAAATCTTGATGAGATGCAGGCATGACAGTCAGTTTGATCCTGCAACTGACAAGATATATAAATTGAAGATCACCAAAGAGCCGATCGGCTGGAACTCATCGGTTGAAACCCTGATGAAACCCTTATTATAATCAAAGACATGTTAGCTTTTATGATTCTAAGTACGACTAGGGATGATGCATCGCAAAGTATGCAAAGAAGCATAAAGTCTAAACAATCAAGCCTTTGACTATTTTTCAGGGTGATCGATACCTTAGTTAATCTAATCTAGTAAGATAATTTAGTCAATACCAGCATAAACCCTAAAACGAATCTCAGCCGATATGATCAAATTAAGATGATAAACTAGATTAACTAAGATATGTGATAAATAGGTAGGAAAAAATGTCAACCGAACCAAAGTGATCCAAGACATCGAAGCGATGCAGCCTTGAACAACACTAATGTAGCCGATACAATTGCCAGGGCCGGAGGAACGTAGGACTTACCCCTTCATCGGAGATCGAAAACCGATGCAGCCCCACGTTAGGTGCCAAGTTCCGCCGTGATAAGTAAAAACCTCGGGAAAGAGGGTGGCAATGTGCCGAGAGTAGTTGCATTGATCTGTGAGATAATTGACAATGACCCCGGGTGTAAATATTTATACCCATGGGTAGATACTAGTCCTTGTTGGATAAGAAAGAAACTTTCCTAAAGATAAAGGAAAACATAAAATCCTTATCGGATACTAAACACACTTTCTTAAATATAAAAGGAAACTAACAGACACTTTCTAATTAATAGATAAACTGTCATGCTGCATCCTCCTTCAACTCAGTCTTTTCTGGATAAAGTTCCTTTAATTGATTAATTTCGTTAACCGAATCTACCAAGAATCCGACTATTGACGACTTGATAATTCCTATCGGCCGATTCCATGACTCTGAAGCCGATACTGACTCTAGGCCTATGATGACTTCGGGGCTTACTAAATTTCACCGTTAACAAGAGCCTAACATACTAGGGAAACCTCTATTCTCTCCAAGTGCAAGTAATCGAGTTGTATCGTTCTCATTGGATGATCTTAAGTACTCATGTTCAAAAACTTCAACAATTGCTTTCACATACCTTCTCAGATTCTCTATAGCGGTACTTTCTGCAAGACCAACATATTCATCCAAAGCATCTGCTGCTATACCATAAGCTGACTGACGGATTGCTGCAGTGATCTCTTGATGACAACTTAACCCAAGTATACTGATTGCATTTATCTTCTGCACAAAATAGTCATCTTGATCCTCTATTGCATTAATTATGCAAAGAAACAGGGGTCTGCTCATTCTATTCCTGCGTAGTCATTACTAATGAGACATACATATCTATGCATATAACAAAGATAAATCAAATAAAATTGGCTCAATACAAACCTGTGCTTGAATAAAACTAGGTCATAGGTAGGATTATCGAAAAAGTAATCTTGGTAAAATTTCAAGTGTCATGTTTCTCTGTTGCGATCAACCACTTCATGTCCCATGACATACCCACCATGTTTTGATGTATTGACAGAGTACCAATAGCTATGCATGATTTGTGCTGCGACCCAAAAAAATCATCGTCATCATCGGACGATGATTCATCCACAAGCCCTTGAAACAAGAGTAAGTATGATTCATCACAGATCAAATTAACTGCCAAACCATTATTCATCACCAACAGAAACTTTCTCCCCTAGCGATATTATCAGATCAAATTAAAAAAAAAGAACGTGATTAATAGGAGAAAATCCTAACATGAGGATCGCCTAGGATATTAACCTTCAAATTGATGTCATGGTCGTGTAGAGGATTAGCTAGCCTTCCGCTTTTCCACATTAGAGGCGAAATCTTCCATCAGTACAACCGTGGTCGGCGAGGGATTCTCTGACGGCAGCAGGAGCCGGCGGCGTTAGGAAGGGCAGTGGCAGGATCAGGAGTGATTTGATCCGTGCATATGTTAAAAAAAAGCAAAACAAAGCGTCGGTAACAATTATGGGCCCATCCAATCCTATATGGTCAACCAACTAATTTTTGGGATTATATTTTTAGGTGGAGATGAAATAGATTTTTAGGTCTAAAATTTTTTAGAATAGTCCCAATCCAAGGAAGTAACTTTTGGGCCTGAATCGGAGATGCTCTAAGGCTGTGTTCCGTACGGAAAACAGAGCGGTTCATTAGCGCGTAATTAATTAAATATTAGCTATTTTTTTCAAAAATGGATTAATTTAATTTTTTTAAGCAACTTTCATATAGAAACATTTTGCAAAAAACGCACCGTTTAGCGGTTTGAAAAGCGTACGTATGGAAGAGGGAGAGGGGTTGGGAAGAGGGGGTGCCGAACACACCATAAGGCTATGGTGCTTCGAATATGAAGCTGCATATTTAGGCCGTCAAAATAATTCTTCAAATTTTCAACTTTTCCATCACATCAAAACTTTTCTACACACACAAACTTCCAACTTTTCTGTTATATTGTTTCAATTTCAACTAAATTTTCAATTGTGGTGTGAACTAAACACAGCCTTAGCTCTACATTGTTTGCTTTTATGCTCTTCCATGCTAACCTGAAAGAGGTCTACAGCGGATTAATTGCAAACTTGCAGTAACATATATGCTACTCACTGGCAGCATTTGCACGGAGCTTTTTTTTTTCAGCATTTGGTCATTTCAAAATTTACGCTGCTATGGTACATTTTGTATGGAGTTGCAAAGTGCGCATCCTGCCAATCAAGACCAAAAACTTTAGGCAGAGAGCCTACGCAAACTAAAAAAATGAATCTAACACATGATGGGTGAGACTAAATTAAACAAATATTATTCCTAGTAAGAGATTATCATAAAAAGTTAAAATCCGGTGTAATATGTAAACCAAAACACTTTTCCCCGCAAAGCAAACAATCAAGCTTTTTCTAGTCGGAAAACCCGTTTTATGAAATATTTGGTAAGTTTACATGGAATATCATAAAAATAGCCCTATCTTGAAAATAAAAAAAATGAATAGAATGAAGAAAGCATTAGGGTGAGTTTGAGAAGAGAGGAAAAGAGAAGATATATAAAACGAGGTGAGCCATTAGCGCATGATTAATTGAGTATAAACTATTTTAAACTTAAAAAATGGATTAATATGATTTTTTAAAGCAACTTTCATATAGAAATTTTTTTGCAAAACACACACTGTTTAATAGTTTGGGAAGTGTGCATACGGAAAACAAAACAAATTATCTCACAATGTTACCCTATTGAATGCAGCCTTAGTGATGTGATGGTTCACAGCCTTAGTGGTGTGATGGTTCACAACTTTACCCACCAGGATTCAAATCGTAGTACCCACGAATATTACGCTTAGGGTATAAGTATGGTGCTGTATGTATAAGTGGTGTGCTACGTGACTACGTCTACTGTCAAAAATAAAAAAAAAGGAAAAATTGTATAGAACTCCATTTTATACATTGAGTTTCAATATTTTCGTTCTTTTCTTTTTCTACGGAGTATAAGGTAAGAAAAGAAGTTGAAATAGGCCCTAGACAAATCACAACTTATCAAGCCCACGGCCCACCGTAGAGGAGCGGCATTCTATCGATTTTTCTCCTGGACAAGAGAAGCAGCAGCCGAGCACGAGCGCGAGCGGTGCTCTGGTGGAGGAGAGGAGAGGGAGGCGTGGTCGGAGTCGGAGTAGGAGGAAGAGGAGATGGTGGTGCTGGTGGTGGCGACGGCGTCGGACCCGGCGTCTATCGGCCCAGCCGCCGCCTTCCTCGCCATGCCCGGCTGGTCTCCCGGCCCGCCCATCCCCGTAAGCAACCCACCGCCCCCCATCTTATCTAGTCCCATCCACCCCAATCTCAAATTCCCCAAGACTTGTAGTGTAGCACGGGGAAGCGCTGCTCCTTAATTAGGGTTTGGGCCATGGCTATGGCTAGTGTTTATGGTTGTGGAGCAGGTATCTTGTTCGATGCGGCAGGCGTTTTCTTTTCTGAAGACTGGAATTGTTCTTCTGTTCTGAGCTTTGCAAGCATATGCGGCCAGGTGCCCAGGTTATAGGATGCGCTTTTGGTGCGGGTTTATGCAATTACAGATACTAGATAGAGATTTGCATGTCCATACTAGTTGCTACGCAGATCGCAGGACGATTCCGGATGTTATAATCTGTTTTTACATCATTGCAAATTAATTCATGAATGGATATTGATAGTATAAAAATATATATTGCCCTTAGCTTTTCAAGCTCCTCTGGACTTTGTCACATAGTTACCGTCCACATGCTGCCACATTAAAATTGACATGACATGATGAGTCACAGCAAAATGGAGAGTGGCGTCTATACTGTTCTTTTTAGTGACAAGGAAAAGGTAAACCATTTGTATGTATGATAATATATAAGAACGTCGATATATTTAAAGATGACACTCGAGCTTTTATCCATGAATAATGCAAGCAGATATCGTGCACTTACAGCTATACGCCTCCATAAAATATTAGGGGGAATCTGTCTCTTACCTTTGAATAATAGAACTTGCTAATTTAAGTGTATGGCAGAAGAAGGTAAGTCACCAATTTGATCAATTAGCCTCATCAGAACAAATGTTTGCGAAAATATATCTGCCTCAATCAACAAATAAATCCAGATTTAGGTGACTATGGAGCTGATAAACCTGTTCCTAAAGACGCATAGCAGAACCATGGAGAATAACAGTGCTATGTTTCTTCTATCATCAGTGATAAATAATGGTATGTCGAAAAAGAGTTGGTCAGAATCCGGTGTCCCTGAACTTTCCAAGGTTTTGTCTGCGTGTAAATTGCTTTTCCCTACTTCAGGCAACATAGAAGGCAATGAGTGATCAGAATGCAGATCATGTACACCAACACATATCTATTATGTTCCAGTGACTCTGTTTGTTTTATTAAGTTTTAGCTTCAAAAATTATTGTTACAATTTTTTTTGTAACATCCATCAGATGTTATGTTTCTGGCATTTTGCAGTTCTTTAATTTGTTAGAATGCCGCGACAATTCCATATAAATCTCTGATGGTATATGTTTTGTAGGAGGGGATGGAGAGCTTTACAAACGGGGACGTTCGACTATTGAAGCATGAACGCAGCATCATTGCGGAGGATGATCTTGACAACCGGTGGCAGGCAGCCACTGGAGAGGCTGTTTCTGAGGTCATATTCCTCAGCAAACACACTGCTGTCTCCAACCGTCCTGCGCTTACTGTCCATCCAATCGGTTGGTTATTTTTAGTCATAAAGTGCTATATGTTTCTTGTTTATCCCTGGCTCTGTTAAATGTTTAATATTTTTCTGTGTTTGAGTTATATTGAATACCTAAATAAGATATGACATAAATGGTGGTTAATAAACCTGAAAAGGTACTGAACTTGTATTTTGTTATTTGTTTGTTTACAAATAATGCATCTGTACTTTTTTGAGTGCAATACATATGCTTATTTGTGTAAATTAATGGTTCATACTTCATAGTACCACATGTATTCAATTATTTTATATTAAACATGGTGTCATTTTTCTTTGGTGTGTCGCACCTTAAGGTGTGCCACATCTAAGAGAAGATGAGACGCCACCTCAAGGAGGGAGACCAGGATGGGCAGCTCTGCCCAATCCTCGAATTGGTCCATGGCTCCGTTTGATGCAAAAGATTGCGGTAGACCAAGGTCTTGTTCCAGAGTTTGAGGTACCTTTTCTGTTGATGATTTTTTTTTTCTTCTGAACTTTCTGCTTTTAAAATTCTAATTCTTATTGCTTGTGAAGATTACACTGGAAGCTACTCACCATGGACCAGTCACCAATACACCAACGATGTTTGTTGAGATAGGTATAGATCTACTTCCATGCTTATATTCTCTGTATTAGCATGTATGGTAGGGTGTTTTGTAAAGCTTCCTACAAACTGGTTTTTGTCATTGCCCTTTACATGTCTTTTATAGTTTCAGAAACATCTGCGCCATTAGCTTACTCAGGTGTTTCATGCTGTACATTTGTTTTGTGCTCTTTGCCTCCCAAATGTCAATCATCAATGCCTAAACACATGCTAGGACTTTTTTGGGGGATAGTTGCAACTATTGCAATGGGCATTTCATAATCAAAAAGAATTTGTGATTTCACAGATAACTAATATTAAGCATTAGTAATCATTTGATCATTCATGTAAATTTGAAACTTTTAATTTAATCATGTTCCACTTGTAGTTGTGTACTTGTGTAAACTTAGATAGTTTGCCTTAGATACGTGTAACCTTCTTGAGCAGGGAAGAGTCAGCTAGCAAAATTATATACACATTTACTCCCTCCGTCCCCTAATATAAGGAATTTTGACATTTTACTTGCACTGTTTGACCATTCGTCTTATTTAAAAAAATTTGGAATTATTATTTATTTTATTTGTGACTTACTTTATTATCCAAAGTACTTTAAGCACGACTTTTCGTTTTTTATATTTGCACAAATTTTTTGAATAAGACGAGTGGTCAAATGTTACAAAAAAAATAGTGAATCCTATATACCTATACAAATCATCCCCACTACTAGCAATTCTCTGCATCCTCATGCTTCCACGTCACCCCGTTTTCTCCTAGCCATTGGATCTCGATCAAGCGCTTCTCCCGGTCAATCTGTTGGCAATCCATTGGATCAAATATCAATGGTTAATGTGCAGTCCCTCTGTTTTCTTTTGCTGGCCAACAAGCCCAACTTTACACACCATCAAGCCCAGTCCACACTCCTTGGCCCAATTTCCACCGCATCTTCCCACACTCCATCCACACCACCATTCCCGTTACCCTCTTGAGTTCGAGCGGTCACGTCTCCCTGCGCCGCTAGAAACTGCGAGTGCGGCGCCGGCGCCTCACCTTCCAGATCCTGCGTAGCGTCGTGGTTCCCCGCCAGCTCTTGGACTGCTCACCTCCAAATGGAAACCACCGCTCACCTGTCGTGGTTCGATCGCTCAAACTTTATAGCTGTCATCAAGATAGTTGTTGTCTCCTCAACTTCAAGAAACTATCATCCTCCACATCCTGTTCGGTCGAATCCTCACACGCTGCCCGATTCACTTCCTACTGCATACTATTTCACACCGGAAACCATCGTTCCATTCGTTTTCCCTGCCTTTAAAGCTTCAGCCGCCTCCTCACCTTCAAGAAACCTCAGGGGTATATATTCATCTACCAAAGGTATGCTTCTTCCTCCTTTTCTTGAACCATAACCATATATGTTCATTCAATTTATTGGCTTACATTTCTCCTTTGAATCGCACTCGATTGATTTGTTCATGTTATATACCAGATTATCAATGGATTAAGGACATACGAGTATTGATTTGGTTTCGGCTCTTCTTCAGATTTCCACTGTCCCAATATTTATTTGGATTTGTCTCTTCTTCAGATTTGTACTGTCCCTATTCAATAGGATTGAAATTTATTTGGATTTGTCACTTCAGATTTCTACCGTCCCTATTCAACACGACTGACATTTATTTGGATTTGTTTCTTCTTCAGATTTATACTGTCCCTATTCAACAACATTGAAATTTATTTAGTATGTACAATTTGTTAAAGGAGCCAATTCATGATCATGGTATTATATGACGACTCTAAAGATCATATATATGCATATACCGGTTTTATGTATTGCTGCACCTTAATTTGTTTTATTTCTGAATACTCCGGTTGCAGATCATTGCTATTAGTAGATTAGATACTGTCGTTGTAGCAGCAGCTCTGGGCTACTGCTAAGGTCAGTCGCCATGGCCATCCAAAGCAGCAGTTGCAGCATAAATTTCCTCCTATATGAATCCTCTATTAAGAAAAATATCAACAATACAATCGGTAATGTTTAATTGTATCTACTTCATTCATGGTCATGTTTTCCAAATATTATATTATGCCCACCCTACGTTACTTGCTTTGCAATTTCTTCCATAAGAACAAAACAATATCATATTTTCTGCAGACTATCAGGGACTGAGTTCAGCAATGAACTTAATTTAGGTAAATATTGGTCCTTGGATCTGTTCATTTTTTTTAGATGAAGGGCAACGCCCTTTGCATCCTATGGTGGATGCACCTTGCATCTGTCCATGCTAACCTTCTTTGCTATATGATGTTCTTACTTAACATACGGGTTAATAAGCTACAGTTTGTGATGGATGTAACTTAATTCTTATCTTTCCCTTCTTTCTTAGTAGAATATAAAGGATGCTCTTTGTAATAGCACACAATTGAACATAATAGGGGATTCATCATTTATGTTTCTATCGATACAATCTCTCTGCCCTAATGATTAGTATCCTCAAGAAAAAAAAATTAAGAGAGTTTCTGATGCTTTGTTTAGATATGGTAGCTATACTTTTTCCAAAGATAGAAAATGTTTAATTTTTTGGCTTTCAATTTACTTTATGGTATAGGATGGTAAGGGATTGAGCGATGTTGATCCAATAAGTTAGTAAGGGATTGCACTATGTTTATGGATTTTTTACATTAATCATAAAACATAGATTACCTCACATGTAGACCATTTTAACTGAAGAAAGGTCAATAATAATCAAAATTATTCTCTCTTACATTGCTATAACTATTTGAGATATTTGTATCTCAAACTTCACCTTTGTCGGGCATTCCGTTTATATTTCTTCCAACAAAATACTAAATACTCCCTCCATCTACTTTTGATAGTCATATTTCTAAATCTAAAAAGTTTATTTTTGATAGGCATATTTCAATTCAACAACCTATCATCTTAATGACTTTCTCGGATTTAATGCATGACTCTCCATTCTTCCACACAAGATTGGCTACATGGGCATCGAAAAATGTAAATATTAATGAATCGCTTGTTTACGAGAAATGACTAGCAGCATGTTTAAATGGATGATAAGTAGAATTACTTATCATTGGTCTGTGTGCCAAGATGAAATATGGCTATCAAAAGTAGATGGAGGGAGTATTGTTTGCTGAAATAAAATAAAATAATCATTTTCCATGGCTATCTATTGCATTTGCCTTGCATCTCCGCATATATAGTCTTATGTTCCTACCTACAAATCCCGCAGCAACGCGCGGGGTATTTTCTAGTATCCCTTATATTAGGGGACGGAGGTAGTAGGTATCTAAAAGAGATTATAGGGTTGAATCCTAGAAACTGATAATTTAATGGAAGACAACTCTAGCATCTGATTCTTGAAAGGTAGAAAGTGAGACAAGGCTTCATTTTGTATTAAGACCCAGATAACGATAATTCCTTTGGTGCAATTACTTTTGGAAAATTTGGTGTTTGGCAAACTGATTTTCTTTTTAATTGAAGTTGCAACCATAAATAGAAAAGGCAGTGCATTGTGAGAAAATTAACTGTTTGGTAACAGAATGTCTAGCCTTAATTTGATTTCTCAATAGACCACATACTGCATTCCAAGTTTATCACAAATAGATCCTTACCTCTCTGCTGTGACTCCTAATCTATCTCTTTACAATAAAGCAGTAGGTTGATGTAATCTTGATTGATATTAACTTCACCCTCCACCTCCATCCAATTCCAACAAGTGATTCTTGTACAAAAAAAAAAAGAGAAAAACTAATAATAAGTTCTATCTTCCATTTGATGTGTTGAGCCAAAATTGCTAATACCAATGTTCTTCTCAGGAAGTACTGAAGAATATTGGTGTCGGCAAGATGCTGCTCAGGCGATTGCCCTAGTTGAGTCATTTTCTCTGTTCTCTTCTACTGTGTATATGTTCTTTGTACTTGATTTCCAAGAGGAACTAAAGGTATCTAGTTTGAACCACAAGATTATATGTGATAAAAAGGTTTAAATTGATATAATTTTTCTTGGCACATTTCTGTGCATTGTCCGTATCCAGATGCTGCTTGAAATTTCAGCTTTTACCTGTTTTCATGGATGCTATCTTTTACTTCTGAATCATGCCTAACCGAAACCCTTTTTACTATACTCAATATGCAGCATTTACCAAAGTGCAGTTGGTTAACTACTGTTTGTGTTGATCGAAGATTCATTAAGTTGTAAATATTGATGTTACCTATATTTATTAATATTGCTTTAAAGAACAATATAGGAAAATATGAAACCAATATTTCCATTACTTGCAGGTTCTTTGGAAAGGTCTAGGGCTTGATGAAGGAAATACTGTTGGAAGTTGGCAGGGGTATGTTCACATATGTTCTTATCCTTTGTGGAATTTTATAATCGTTGTGGTAGGTTAGAGACCTTTTCATTTTGGTTTTGTGGAGTTGAGATTAAGAAGACTATAGTAAGTTGCAACTGAAAATTCTGAACTCACTAGCCAGCTACTAGGGTAATTGAGTACTAGTCTAATTTGTTATATGGAAATTGACACACTTAAAATTTGGTCAAACGGAATGTTTATATACTACACGGTGATTATGTTTCTAAAATGTTTCGACAATAAAGCAACCTAGGTTCCCATTGTCATTAGTATTACTACAATGCATAACAAAAGAAGATGACTAGAAGACATGGTTTGAAATAAATTAGTTTTCTTTTTCCTAGAGAAAAGGATGGAATGGGATGCGATAACTTCTGGAAGAGAAAAATACTGATCCTTTATTCTTGCTTGGTTAACAGTGGATCAATTGCTATTGCCCCTTAAGTCACAAACTGTCTCCAATAATTTTTCAATATTATTTTCTTGTTTTATGGCAGCATTAATCTGTTTATTTAGTACTACCTCTGTCCCAAAATAACTTTATTTCTAGCCACTGGGATTCAAATTAGCATGGAGGAAAAAAGACCAAACTGCCCTCATTAATAGGAAAATAGAATTGGTGGGTGGGAAGGTAAGGGGTATTGAAAGGATAAAACTCCTCATTTTGTGGTGACCAAGGGTGGATAAGGTGATAGAAATGAATTTACTTTGGGATAAATGGTAGAGCCTAGAAATAAACTTGTGTTTGGGATGGAGGGAGTATCTGATATGGTGATGTTTGTTTTCCTTCTAAGTAAGTATCCTTTCCTTATTCTTGTTTCCGTTTTAAGCACTAAGCCTTATTTCTTGCGATGCAGTAATAGTGAAAAAGTTCTACTTGGTATAGGAGGTGGTCACTATGCTCCTCGCCATATGGATATTGTCATGTAAGCACTGATGTGAATTTATGGCTTATTAGTTAAGACAGCTTCTATTGATGCATTGCCTGCAATGTATCTCATCCTTCTGTAAAGGAGATGCCTGCCTAATAAAACAATGCACATTGAATATTTCAAACTTTTTCCATATTGTATGAGAATCATTTGACTTATGTACTGAACTGTAGCAAGAAGTCTAAACTATTGTGTTGATAATTGTAAATTTCAATCTAATTGTATGTCTGTAGTACAGTCCTGTAGATATATGGTTGGTGGTTGGGTCCAAATAAAATTGGTCGCTAACACCAAACTCAGAGCTATGATATTGATCTCGATGAAATTTATCTGTGGGTGGGTATTTTTGTAGTCCATTGTCATGACCAGAGGCCATGACGGGATAAACACCGCCGGGAAGATAGCCGGGCGGCGTCGGCTCCTGGAGAAGGGATGTAGATTTAGGCTAGGGAGAAGAACATTATTGGGGGGGAGAGATTAGACTAATTGATATTCATTGCTTAATTGATAGATGGTACAACTTGACCCCTAAGTAAGGATAGATAAAATCCCATCCTTATAAGGATAGATAAAATCCCATCCTTGGTACAACTTGATCCCTAAGGATAGATAAAATCCCATCCTTATATAGATGGTACAACTTGACCCCTAAGTAAGGATTTAATCTTATCGTATCTCTAACTAACTAACTAATAATTTTATCTCTAACTTTACCGGTATGGGCTGTCCATGGGCCTTGGCCTTATGGTCTAATGCCCATGACATCCATCCTGTTCTCTCTGCATTTTTGATAATCTGAACAAGCATGTTCCTTTATCTACTTCAATTACAAGAGTTGTAAGTTTAATGCTTCGTTAACAAAATTTATCTATGGAACGGATAAACTATCGAGGACTATAAATGACAATATATGTTAGGCAGTTAGATTACAGGGTTGGGACCGAATGAGGAGAAACTTACCCAGCATATCTAGAAATGGCAATATATTCGAAGAAGGCCCCCAGTAAGATGTATCAAATATACAAGGAGAGGCAGGGATCATGTAAAACAACATAGGTAGAAGCAGTTATAAGAGACTTGAAGTTGAAGGAATGGAATATATCCAAAGAATTGGCTTTGGATTGGATTTGTGGAAAGTAGCTATCCATGTTCGTCAGAACCATGATCGTGAATATTGTTTTTCTCTGTCACTAAACCATCTTTGTTTTAGCTCTATTTTCCTTTGTTTCATCTGATTTTGACTTGGATTTGATCTTAATCTACCCAACTTGATTGGGACTAAGGTTGATGTTGTTCTGTTTTAAATGGATAACCTATTGACCTTTCTAGAAAAAATGAACTAGCATACAGCAGACAAACTATTTGTTGTCTCTTGACTTTTCCCGAAGTGTCGGTACAATATGCTGTTTGCTGAACTGGATCTGCAGTTGATTGCAACTCCTTTCCAACTGTTATCTCAGTCTATGTGCACTTAGCCATGTATTGTACAAAGGGGAAGAAGAAATGTGTGTTCTAACATTGTGTTACATTCTTGAAATATTTCAGCAAAGATGGCATATGGGTGGGTCATCTGCTCTCTGGTTACTCATTGCCTATGGAAGTGTCACCTCAAGGAAATGGAAAAAGTTATAGTGATGTTGGTGGAATGTGGAAGCATTCCATCAAAGTTTCATATGATGCCACGAAGGCAGCATTTCCTGGTGGTCAAGTTATAGCACATCTTGATCAAAAGTAAGTGTCATATCCTTTTTGTCGGTGATATCTAATCGACTAACCGTATAAAAGATGCTACTTCATTACCTTGTGCTTCTCTGATGTATAATAATCTTGAACTGTTTTAGTTTAACATTCTAATTCTATCAGTTGGTGCTTGACTTGTAGGAGCTTCAAGGGCTGGCAAAAGAATGCTATCATGAGCTACTTGCAGGAGCTGAACATAAGGATAGGAAAACCTAATGATTTCATCTAATATGCTGCAGCAGGTGTCCACATAAAATTTTTCTGCGTCGTATATCAGGTTTGCTTCTACTCATGTTTTGGTGCCAAATTCACTTCTGCATAATTTTTTTTTTGAGAATTACACAGCACAACACAGACACATAATGCATGCACACTCACCCCTATGAACGCACGCACGCAAACCCTACCCCTATGAGTAGGGGTGGAAACGGGTCGGGTTCGGTCGGATCTTATCCTTCCCATATCCTAACCCACATTTCATAATCGGGATCGGGTCGGGCACGAATATTGTCGGATACGAATACAAGCACGGATAATATCGGGAATAAATACGGAACAAATACGTACCAAGACGGATACAAACACTATCGGTTGCGAATACTTATTCAGATATGAAATCAAAGCAACATCCATATATACCATATAGGCAATAGGCGTTCAACCAGTCCATATATGTATAATATGAATATGTTAGAGGCGTAGGGAATAGTAATGCCTATCAGCACAACAGAACCAAAGTGGCTGTGGTTGCATCGTGTAGTACCAATGCATTTGGTGCCAACACTTCGGTACCAGCCAGAGATGCACCTGTGCTTGCACAGATACTAGTGTTTGCATCACCACTAGCCATTCTATCCTAATCCTACAGCCAAACAACAAAAGTAAAATAAGAAAAAAATCCTTCAAGTCGTAAGGTGATGTTGATAAAGGGCAATAAAACACTTAACTTTTGCTCACCTGGATGGCTGGGCCTGGATGAGCTGCTGAGAGGTGACTACCAGAGGAGATGGTCGGCGCCTCGGCGGTGACCGGCGGGGCCTTGCGACGGTGGTCGGCGGCGGTCAAACGGCTGTCGCATATCTACCGGCGATGTGCAACAGTGGCCAGCGGGCGCGGGTACGCAGCAACGTAGCCACTAGTAGCTAGCACATCGCCTAGCGGCTAGCATGCGCGGCGGCGGTGCTGGCTGTATGCCTGTGCCTGTGATTGGTTGCTCGCGTGCGGCGTGCGGCGCCCTCTGGCTGCTGCCTGCTCGCCTCCCTGACCTGAGGCTGAGTGTTAGCGCTCGGTGGGCCTTTTGGGCTGTTATGCAATTGTGTTGATGCCTGGTGGTGGTAGCAGTCCGGGTCATATACGGGTAGTTAACCGGGTAATACCCGCACAATTTACCGGATACTCTGTATCCGTCGGATACTGTCCTCCTGAACCCGATCTTATATCCGTCAGAAAAAATCCGTTTTTGAATCCGATATCCGTGTAAGCACTCGGGTATCCAAATTTTTGACCCGAATTTGTCCCGTATTAATACGGGCGGGCGGGCGGGAAATACCCGCCCCGTTTTCACCCTTACCTATGATCATCTTCGAAGACTAGGCCGGCAAATCCTGGAGATTTGACACGCCCAGATTATGTAAATATATAATTTGAGGGAAATGTCAATTTTCATCTTTGTTAAAGTCTTTTGAGTTTCTAACGATACCAGTATCATGGATTGTTCGTTCTATTTTTTTCTTTGTTTCTGCTTAGATCACATGTCTTCTGTTGGAGAAAGTCCTGAAAATTTGCAAAATAGTAGTTCATTAACTCAAAATTGCTGGCCTATCTGAGGCCTACCCAATATTCTGTTGAATTTTGCTAACATCCGACATTTTTATAGTAGAAACTAGAAAACACAACATTATCAGCTAACAATGCTGCTTTAATATTTTGTCAAACTGGCCCCAGAAACATTTTAGGAAGGCAGAAATATAGGAAATGCCACAATTGTTTTTGGTATTCGTGCAAGCAAATATATATAACAAAACCCAGGTTTTATGATTGAAGTTGCAAAATCAAAGGGGATTTTTTTAGAACACGCAGGAGATCTGCATATCATTTCATTAAGATAGAGGGAAGAAGGTGGACAGCGTTAGAGAAAAACTCCGACACCCACCCACCCGAAAGTTCAACAGCAACACCACACACCCACAAGGAACAAAACGGCCCTAGTATCCTAGCACTATAGCCTTAGACAAAAGATCATAGAGCTTAGAAGCTCCTGCTAGTCACCGTCCTGGTTTAAAGGTTTCACAAAGGTCCAACCATATTAAAATCTTTAGTTATTTTTTATCCACTTTGACCTATTTTGTTCAAGGCATTAATAAATTTATCCAGCTAGAGTAATTAATTAAGTACTAATAAATAACTCGATAATATTCACAGATGTATTGCATGGCATTTAAATGAAAAATGAGATTTTATGAGACCTTGAGACCACAATACCTGTGTTATGTGCCACAACCGTAGTATGTAGGGTTTTCTGCAATTTTGACATGAGAATATGGGTTTTCTTAACCTTACTCTTCTTTGTATGGATGACTGAACAACTTCACTCCTGCGGCTGCACAACAACTGCAAACATGGTTTCTTTTTCATGAGGTGTAATTGGTTATGGTATTCTCTCCTAAAACTCAGGTAACAATAGTGCCTACAACTATCATTTTACTATATACTAGCTAAAGGCTCGTGTGTTGCAACGGATATTATAAGAGATAAAAGCAAAAGCAAAAGCAAAAGCTACAAGTTTATAGCATAGGTAGTTGATTAGGCATATAATGCCATATTCAGAGCAAAAGCATTCACGTGTGGAGACCTTATGGATTCATATGTCAGCTTGTTGACGTTGGACGCCACCACTAGCATCATTTAAAGTAGTATAGAGTATAGATAACACTTCTAACATAAACCTTTCAACCAAATTAAAATTAAATCTCAGAAAATTAGCTAGAGTTAGATGTTTTTTTTAAAAAATAAAAACAGAGCAAGAGAAAACCTAGATGTCTCTCAAAATAAAAATATTAACCCAAAAGTGATAGCTTGGGTGAGCAGGTTAACCCCCCTTGCTGTGGTTTATATACCCAGCTAAGACCTTGTTTTGCTGGCCAGTGTTCCGGCTCATTCCCCATGGGTTAGCTAGGATATTCAACTAACCAAGGCCTAAGATGACATCTGTAAACTCACTTTCTACGTGTATCATAGGCTTGTATTGTGTGACTCACAGTTTGCATGTCTGGCTCTGGCATATGTGCAGGGACAAATGGTAAAGGTGCAGCCTGTGCCAGGGAGGCAAAGGAGAATGCAGCCTCGTGAGTTGATGATGTTAATGTTCCTGGATGCTACACATGAGAAGTGAGAAGCAAGCAATAGTCATCCTTAATATTGCAAGGGAAGCCAGGATCGATGCTGCTCTGAAGAAACGGTCTAGAGTCATGTCAGGAAAGGTGGCAGCAAACCATCCAGCTAGCACGTTATCTAGGCTTTCATATACTAGCTGTCTAGTAGGAGTATTTCTCAGGTTTGTGCATATGGTGGCCAAATAAAAATTAGTACAAAAGAGACCCATATAAAAAGGGACACATTTTAGTATTATAAATCTGGACAATAGTGATACTAGGTTACTATATTATGAAACAAATAGAGTACTTTGTTTTGGGGATGCAACTAGTTGGACTCCAACAGGGAACTCTTGAACATTTTTTCTTATTATAAATAGTATGACTACCAAAGTAACAAATGACTATGTGTGCACATTATAGAACAAACTTTTTCTATGATCAGTGTAAACCTTTTGTTATATAGTTTAGCAGTCAGCAATGAAAGCTCAACCTTTTAACTGTTACACCTGCATAAAAGGGCATATATTCTGAACAGGGCGACGTTAGTTATATGCACGTTTATATTGCACACAATTCTGAAACTAACAAACTGCACCCAAAAACTGGGGGCGATGTTACGTGTTACCACCCCCGTTTCATTATCACCGAACAACAATAACAAGTGAGGCTATCCGGCTACAATTCTGGATGACTGGATAGTTAAGTAAGCATAGAAGTTACTCCCTCCATTTCATGTTATAAGATGTTTTAACTTTGGTTAAAGTTAAACTACTTCAAGTTTGGCTTTATAGACAAATATAATAATATTTATAATACTAAATTAGTTTCATTAAATCAATAATTGAATATATTTTTGTAATAAATGTCTTGAGTTAAAAATGTTATTATTTTTTTCTACAAATTTAGTCAAATTTAAAGCAGTTTGACTTTGACCAAAGTCAAAACGTCTTATATTCTGAAACAGAGGTAGTAGAAAGCATTAAGGATAGGGAGAATAGCCAATATGATCCCTAAAGTTTCGCTCCTGGATCATTTTAGTTCTTAATCTTTCATATTGTACAAACAAGTTCTTTAAATTTGTCATGTGGGCTGATATAGTCTTTGGTCCCACCAAAATCGCCACATGGACATGCCACGTCACCTTCCTATGTAAAATCTATATGATTTATCCAATTTACCCTCACATGTATCATAGGAAAATAAAAACAAAAGAAAAAGTTAAAAAAATATGGTATATGTAAGAGCAAAAATATACTTCAAAAGGGTGAAAAAAAGAAGTATTTTTTTCCTATGTTATGTCTAATTCACACCTATATTTATTTTTCTATGATATACGTAAGGGTAAATTGGACAATTCATTATCGATTTTGCATGAATGATGACATGGCATATCCATATGATGATTTTGGTGGACCCAAGGACTATTCTAGGCCTTATGACAAAGTTTAAGGATTTCTTTGGACCATTTAAAAGGTCAGAGACTAAACTGATCCTATAGAGAAACTTTATGGACTAAAGTAGCTATTCTCCCAAAAATAATTAGGAAAAGGGTGGAAGCATAGGCATGGTGAGGCAAAATTATATGGAAGAGAGGAGAATGGAAAGCCGATGGTTGTTCTTCCCAGCTGGCTGCTGCCCTTGCTGATGCCAAGTGTCCTTTCTCTTTTGTTTTTTTTTCTCAATTACACATCAGATGTACATGCACACGAACACCACATGCACACGCCTGCGAGTGTGCCCCTGATACACGGTTAAAGACATAGAAACCAACAGCACATATTTGGCCCTAGTAAATTCCTATTCAAAGATCACTCGCGTGTTTTATCGGTGGACCCTAGGATTTGAACCTGATAGGTGGCGATCAGACAACCTCTGCCTAAGGCCTACATGCGTGACAAGAGCTTTCTTGAGTTTTTTTCCATTGTAAAATGGAGTTAAAACTCAAAACATGTTGCTCTCTCTATCTAAAATATTGAACATTGCTAAGTTATTTAGCAGAGATTAAGATTGAATAGGAAAGACTTTGGTGCGCTTTATTAGTTGAGAAATGGTTGAGGGTGAGAGAGTAGTTAAGGGTAAGTTGGTGGATAGGACAAGCCTTGTTCCGGCCAACTAAATCAAGTGGCCATATTTTAACAAATATACTTATATTACCTTGTCCTATAGTTATGATATTTTTGTTTTATCATTATTATCCATAAACATTCCATGATTGACATATCATGTAAATTGTCACACTTTTCTCGTGAAGTCTTGCCACCATAGTTATTTTGAGCCATCAATGATTGGTCTATGCTGCAAATTATCTCTCCTCACAAAGCCACACTATTCTAGACCAATCATTGATGGCTCAGAAAAAGGACCCGTCAAAGGTGACGGTTATCTGTGACTAATTCATAGGGCCATCACTGGTGTGCCGTCACAGATGTAGGGTTCTGGCGTAGTGTCTAACTCGAACGTGCATATTTAAAACCGAGCGTATCAAAATGTCACGTCAACCGGCTAGATTTTTATCATATGCCTAAATATTGGAAGCTGGCCTACCATATAGAAACATACATTTACACTGTATCAACGACGATTCAAATAAAACAATAACCCTGATGAGCAACATATACACTTGACTCTATTGCCACACTACCGATGTGCTTCCATGAAGAATTTAGTGAGGATTTACGGTCCACACGTTGATGCAATAATAATTAGCAATAACTATATATTTAGTGGTACTCCCTCCGGTTCTATATTAATTAACGTTTTGGACAAGGTTAAGGTCAAACTTTTATAATTTAGACTATCAATAACTTTAAAAATATTTAGTTTAAAGTAACTAGAACAACTTATATAGATTTATCTTTTAAAGTACTATAATAAAAGTAAACATGTATTTATTTATTATATATATTATAATAGAAAATAAGGTTAAAGATGTATCTTGTAGATCGTGTCATTGTCCAAAACGTCAATTAAAATGAAACCGGAGGGAGTAGTAAATAAGCTAGATTGAAAATATATATTGACGTTTGAGACTGAGCATGCCAGAGATCCAACGTTATTGCTATAGCAATTAATAGAGAACAATAATCACCCATGTTGAGTGTTTTAACTATATAGAGAAATAAATGATATCTTAAAGAGGGTATACTGCCGTATGACTGCATACACTCCATCTGGTGTGTATATGTGCACCATCTGGTGTGTACATGCATATGCACCATATAATCGAAAAAGAAAAATCATCACTAAGAATACATTGAGTTTGCTTGTCATGTCATTTTTTTTTAAAAAAATCGAACTAGCCTATATTCCGGCCTGTAAGTGTGGTCTGTGGAGGTCCATATACTAGTCTTGAATGTTGGAACATGCTAATCAGTCAGAATCACAATATAACACTTTTAAGTACGAATTTAGGTTATGTCAACTGTTAATCAATCCCCAACACGACAAGTCTCAGTGTAAAGTAAACACTCACCCGCTGCCAACTGAAAGTGGTTAATTTTGAATTAGCCTTCCGATAGAATGCTTTTAAAGAAGACAGGGTTGCCGTCAGTTTCCATCCAGCTCGGTTTGATTTGGTACTCAATTTCGAGTTTGGCACCAAGTAACAATCATGTCAGCACTCAAACTGATCTAAGGCATGTACAGTGTTCCTGTGATGGCAGTTAAATGTTCACTTTCTTAGGAGACAAATGAAGCCTTGTGCTGCCAGAAAAATCGTAAGAGGTCATATCATGGATATTTGACATATTAATCTGGAAGTCCTCGAATTCAATTTAACCCTGGGTTTTTCGCATGGAATTTTCTACTAGCTAGTAACTGTTCTTGACATGCCCCGGAATTTCTATAATTCCAATGTGAGCCCTTGTGATTTTCACTCAACTTTCTTTTTGAGGAAACACTCAATTTCTAATCTATTACTAAATTATATTTTGATTACTCATATGCCCTGAGTTTTTTTATTTTAATCTGATATTAGTTGAACATGAGTTGACTGCTTTTTTTCTCTCTCAAGCCTTTGACTTTTAACATTAAGGACCTCTAGATAAAGGGAATGTATACATAAGCTTAGGTGCACACACACTAAAGACACCAACTAATAAATATCATAAGAAATTCTATAAAAAATTTTACACTTACTTATAATAATATTATACATAAGTGCACGTTTCATCTTTAAATTCATCAAATAATAATAAGTTCATCCAAAACCACAATTTGTTTTTGCATAATAACAAATATATAACTTCGAAACTATATAGATGTATGCTATATTTACTCCAATGAGAAGTCTAGCTGTGCAAGGGAGTAAAATGTCATTCATTATGTCAGATTTTAAACTTTCATAAACTCGAACTATATAAACTAGTTTGTCATTAAATTATTGATAAATATCATTGCCTCCTATCCAAGCCACTTAAGTTCAAAGCTTGAACCACTGTTGCCGGATTTCTGACTCTGTCACTTCTTCACGCATTGGTGTCGTTCAACCATTTACCGCTCTTTATATATTGATGTGTCTTGGCCATTCACCGTCCATCGACCATTTACCGTCTTTTCACCTTATACCAATAGTAGCTAAACTCTTATGTCAATTGTAGGATCATAAAAGTCATTTATCACCCCAAAAGCTAGCCTATGACTATTTTTAAATAATATTCCTCTCTCTTCTACAACCAATATGAAACTATTAAAAAACCATTGTTTCAAATGAAACCACCGTAGAACATGGTTCATTACTTTTTTTACCCATTTTTTGAAAGTTAACATTGAGAAACAACTAGAAAATCTCTTTATAAATTCGAACTCAAACTTTTCAATCTTGGATTTCAATCTAAATTGGACTCATTTCCATACTACACATCTTCATTATGCCATATAAAAACTCTGCCTCCATGTGCATTATTTTTTAACCTAAGCATGCTGCATGATATCCTTAATCGTTCAGACATGAACTTCTTCTAAGTCAACTCCCGATCAATCACCGGCAATACTATCATACCTAGAGATACATCTACACATGAACAAACAAAAAAAAAACCATATCCGTGCACAAGTTATTTCCTAACTTGACTTATATTAGCACATAAACAATATATGATACACTTATGAAACTATTGGAAGCCATGAACATTAAGAAATCATCATGAAACCCTAATTCACTCTGAAATCAACTCCCACCTGGAATCAGCCGGTCTGATCGTCATGTGGCCCAGTCAGACTGTGGCTACCATGCCTGCCGAGCCTCATTCGATCTGACTGGCCTTACCAAGCTAATGCTACCTTCGTCAATTTGACACTTCGCTGAATTAACACCACTTTACCAAAATCAATTCACTTACTTGCACAAACAATTATTCATTACAAAACTCTGAGTCAAAACAATAATTTCACAACCAATTTTGATCTCAATGCACCGTAGATATGTCTCTTCGAGT